AATAGAAGGCTGACTGATCCGGATTTATGATTACTTTAGCACTTAAAAGTGAAACAGCAGAAAAATAGTAAAAAAGAGCAACCGAGGACTGCAACAAGTTCGGATCTGTCTGAAACAAGTAAAATTCGACTTAAGCACTTTAACCAGAGTCGATTGACAACTTTTGCATAATTATATGATTACAGCTGCACAATTTTTTCTGATTTGTATCAGTATGCTAGAGCTCAGAACATTGTAATATTCAGTCCTGCGGCTATGAAATAATTATCAAATGGAATCACATCTGCGCGTTAGCCTGAGGCACTATATCAACTGATGGTAAATCTCAGTTGTTGAGTAATTTCAATTGGCAAAATGCCGTTTGCCACGTAGACAAAAAAACTTCATAAAATAAAGCGAACTGTGGGCATTTCCGCCATAGTACCTTAGATTACACGATGACAGGGACAGGGTGAATCACTCAAGCGATGAGATGCGGCAGAAAACAATCGGAAAAAGAAAACAAAAATAATTGTAAACAGATCACCGTGAAGGTCTTTACTCCAAAAGGTTTATTATGATTGCACAATGTTTTAGAATTGACGGCAGCGTATATTGTACCATATTAGAAAGACCTAAGCCCATTAAGTTTTTTCACTGAAAGCATGGTAATTTCATTATGCACGGTATAATAATCACGAAGACGATAATGATAATTATAGTAGTAATCTTTGAAGAGGGAACCCAGCTTTCAGTGTGGCCCTCAAAGAGAAAAAATAGAATTTTGAGGCTTTGTTGAGGAAAGCTGCACTACAGTGGTGTATGCCGGCCTGATTTATGTACAATCATCAGTGGATAAAATCAGTCATTTTCTCTTTTCCTTGTTAATTTTTTTAAAGGAATCACAGCCGCTTCTTTATTGGACGGTCACCCTGTAATTTTCACCTTTATTAGGGGTCACATCTATCAAGCTATTGTGCTTAACCTTTACTAAGTCCCAACGGACTGTTTGTATTGTCTTACTGGCCTGTATTTAACAGTCACTTTAAGCGGAACCACTGAAATAAAACCATGGAAAGCTTTCAAGTATATTAAGTCCATGGTTATCTCCCGAAATCACTACCCGTAATATTTTTGGGCGATTTTAGTGGTAAATTATAGCATAAAATGACGTTTTATTCCTTTTTTTATAATACCCCTTTACTGAGAAACGTCAGCGGCCATCCTGCACTGAGCGATAAATAATATAGGTCACCGTAACAAGAGCTAACAACTATGATCGTACCTCTTTACCTGGTACATCGATTCAAAAATATTACCGTGTTTTCGGAATGCGAACGCGCTTACCCGCCTGATCACGTGACTTTTATGCGCAGTACAGGGTGCGCAGTGAAATACTGAGGAATCAACTTACTGCAGGTTCGATTGTATCATGATACTGATGGAAGAACTTCCAGTGCGCTCGAAGCACGCGCGCAGCAGATAGCGCCACAGCTTAGTAGATTTGTAACTAATCAAGTCAGGACTACTGCGCAGGCCTTTATAGATTATGCTAGTAAAAGTAGCATGTTATGCTAGTATCATTGCTTTTTTGGGGGGGGAAATTATGCTAAAATTATGCTATCTTTTACAAATTATGTCCCTTTTTTTTTTAAATTATGCTCTTTGAAAAAGTTGCAAGTAAGTCCAAAAAATACATTTCTTAATTAGAAGCCGTTGGTTTACAAGAAAGAAACGCGCAACAAATCCACAATGAAATTCAAATAAACATGTGGTTATGTTAACATGCAGACTAGTACTAGACTACACATGGCCTACAATGTGACTTCCGGTTCCGGTGCGGTGCACCCCAGACCCGGGCTCAGACTGTTTCAGACGCCGCTCAGTGATTCAGAGTGAACTACAAAGCTACTACTTGAACTAAAACTTAAAACATGGAATAACGTCACAAAGGGCTTGGGAATAGAGATAAACAATGATCAAATTGTACGTAGCATCAAAAATGATCCGATAATTATCAAAATACATACATACATACTTTATTTAACGTGGAAATATGCTTAGCTTAAGAGCTAGCTTATAGGTATTCCACCTAATACCTAATGAAAACCTGACAACTAACAACGCTACTATCACAGCTACTATCAGTGGTTCGAATCCCGTACAGGCCTGACTTTTCTTTTTTTTTTTTTCTCTCTTCTGCGAGGATCGTGCATCTTTCGTATCTAACACCGCAGTTCAAAATATATGAACTTCATATATTCATTGTATATAAAACATATTCTTGGCGCCTGAGATTGTACTTAAATGAGCGTAAGTTAATAAGATTCCTAATTGCCCGTGGTGCTTTGCTCGATATGCTGTTATGTATTGTCAGTAACATGTCTTGAATTCTTCGAGATTCCATGGAGGGTAGTCTTATCCTATCCAAGAGATGCTGATAAGATGCATGTTTATCATTAACAGAGCTGAATAATGAAATGCTACGTCAGCGGGTATGCGGTCAATAACGCGGGCTCAAGTGTACTAGGTCTAAAATTTAGCGAAATTAGCGGGAAATAATAAGGGCTGACCTTTAAAACCGAGGAACTCTGTTTTCGTCGAAGGGACTTCCCTATTTCCAAAGGTTTAAAGGAGAAAATTAATTTTTGAAAATTTTTAGGAGGTGTACCAAATTTTTGGAGGTAAAAGAAATGCGGCAAGGAAAACGACGCCTCGAAGCAACAGAATAGGAAATCAACCATGCGAACGACTCAAAATCCGTGTTTCCGCGGCAAAACCTGGCGCATGCGTATACGGTATTCAGCTCTGCACGCCTTGAGTGCACATTGGGGTATATGGTCATGACCAGTTGCTTTGTTTGCTTTCATTCTCTGTAGAGCAGTCTTGACCAACTCATGATTAATTAAATCGAACTCGAACTGTTCATCTTGATTCCAGTTCCTTGGAATATTTGACAAGTGCGGTTGATTTTCAAAAGAAGTGTACTGTTAGATGTCCAGGCTTTCTGTCACATTGTTAAACTAACTATTGAGAATCTCTGCAACTTGATTCTGATCTTTAATTATCTTATTGTTCTCTTTGAGTGTGATATATTCAGTTGGTGCGCATCTCTTTGAATGCATTAGAGGACGAAGTGAGTTCCAGAATTCTTTGGGTTTCTCCGCGGCATTTAAGCATAACTGATCAAAGTGATTAATCACGGACTTGCGTAGCATGGTTACTATACGGTTACACATAATCCTGCGAATATGCGAATTATGCTAGCATTGCTACTTGGCAGAAATTATGCCAAAAATTATGCTAGCATAATCTATAAGGGCCTACTATTGCGTCTTGAGGACATCTTACGCCTGTTCGTACAATACGCTACTTTAAGCATGTCCAACTTGCTGCTTCAAGGGTGCGTAGATGCAAAACTTACCAAGGAGGGTAGGGAAGAGAAAATTGAAAATTCTACTCATGAATTTTTTTACTGAAAGGGTCGACTGAAGCGCTTTACCTCCCATCTGGATGGAGTTCAAATTTTGGAGGTCCAGGTGAAAATAGAATAAGCTAAAGAATGCTTGGATCCCTTTAAGGTGATTAATGCCTTCAATCTGGTGATAGCCATGGCCCCAAAATCCCAGTACTATAAACTCATCGTTGTGAGAAAAAAAAAATTAAGTTTTTTTCAAGAATTTTGACTTACCAGCAAACGCTTTCAAAGGAGTTTTACAGTTAACAAAATGTCATTTCGTTTATTAGAAACTGGTCTTTTCAAGTATTTTCGAAAAACCTTATCGCTTTGGGAAGTATTGTTGTCATGTAACCCTCGTGAGGGGAAATGAATGTCAGGCATTCTCCATGCATAGGTAGACCATAAAAATTACTTGATTCTCTTTCCAGCTCAACTTTACCCATGTACAGCCAGTGGGCGAGCTTCTCGACGGTTCCTTGCATGCAACCGCGGCGCAAAATCACAAAGCCAGGAGGTTATACAAATAATTCAATGTGGTCAGGATTTTAACTTAATGTCGTGCTCATTTCATCATCGAATAAAAATTTTGTCGGGATCGAATCGAAGCAGTCGTGTATTCGACCAGCAATGCACTCTGCGATGACGACACCGAGATTTCTTGCGATCTTTGGTCCAATTGTGCAGCCATCTAACGCACTTGCCACTCAGCCTTTAGCCGAGTGATTAGCATGATTTATCAATAATTTTCATAATGCGATATTTCGTATGCTTCGCTGCTTGTCTGAACAATGAAAGTTTTTTCAATAGGCAAACGACTGCCGCACTCAACAACAGTGTTAATCATAAAACTTTGGCCCTGTCTTGTCTACCTTTCTCGATGTAAAAAGTCACCGACATTTAGGCTTGTTATATACTGCTTTTGACTGTATTGGAAGATGCCTTCAGGTGCGAAGTTTATATAAAGTTCCGATTTCTACAAACAGAAGTAAGTAAAAAACGAGAGTGAAATGCTGCGCTTAAACTTATTAGATTCAAGAGAAGTTTGACTTCGGTCCTGAGAACTGCTTTCAATGAACAGAGCTAAATTCGGACCATCATGATTAGGTGGATTTTTTTTATTTTTTTTTTAGTTTATTCGTTGGCATATATCATAATTCAGTCACATAAATAGCAACGTCTTTTCATTTACACCACTGACACCTATGGCCATTACGCGACGATTCAACTTGTAAGGAAGATATCATATAAATACTACACAGCGATAGATCAGGATGTGTAGAATGCAGTCTTCGAGAAGATATTTTTAACTCACTAAATCAGCTTTTTGTCAACACTGGTCGACGTTCATGGTTTCGTGACTTATTTGACTCTGTTAGCGGGTTCTGCCGTGTTATCCATTCATTTAAAGCATAGCCTTGAAACTTCGCTAAAAATTACTTTCAGTGACAATTTAAATGTGTTTGATTGTGCGATAGTTTTCACCTTCACGACTGCACGATAGAATCGATGACCGGCTGTTTGTACAACTTCTTAACAATGGCCGGTGAGTATAAGTCGTCATTACAAAACAGCTGTGAATAGCAAGAAAGAGCAGGAAAGAGGTTCACCCTTGTAAAAATATTTCATCATTATTTCATCGTTTGTGCAACTTCTTAGCTGTGGGTGAGCATAAATCGTCATTACAAACAGCTGCGAATAGCAAGAAAGACCATGCAGGAAGGAGGTCCATTCTTGTAAAAATATTTCATCATTATAGTTTATCAGCGGGGAGGACAAATAGACTGTTGTCCATGCGCTTGCCACGTATATCTTTGAGGACTGAGGAATTCTGTTGGATCAGTATGGGCTGGATTGGACTTTTTTTTAAAGGTTAAGCTATGAAATGATTTACTTCTTGATTTGAGCAAATGTTTTTGGATATTTGCTGCTCTTCCTGTTCCTGTTTAGCAATCATATCTCGTTAGTTTCCGCTTTGATTGACGTCGAACAATTGCGACAAGAACTGCTGATAATCAACAGTTTTCCGCTTTGATTGACGTCGAACAATTGCGACAAGAGCTGCTGATAATCAACAGTTTTCCGCTTTGATTGACGTCGAACAATTGCGACAAGAACTGCCGATGATCAACAGTTTTTAAGAAAAAGCTGGTAGTTTCATTCTCTGGCGAAGCCTCCTAAAGCCCCAATAACAAAGCTTTACTGCGGTCCAGTTATATCATACTGAACGGTAAATGACAGAGAACGTTATTAATACTCCAAGTCAAGACTTGATAGGTATAGGTAATAACCTAAAAACATCCTGACATCCTTTTTTTTTTCTTTTATGACATCTTGATCATTACGTCAAAGCAGATCAAAATGGCAAAATGGCATTGTTCACCTACTTAAAGTTTTTATTTCACCTTTGGGACACGAGCACGGGCAGAATTATGGTAATAGGCGCTGATGAAAATAGAAATATTGATATCAGCGCTAGATAAGTTTATTACTATTATCATTTTTATAACTATTTACACTTTATTGGAGTATGATTTCTTATAAAATTTTTATGATTAATTCCACAGCGCCCGGAGTTCACATTCTTTGCGTTACTGACTAACGCATTGACCAACCGCATGTAATTAATCGTAAATGTAGTTCACGAAAACATATGCAAACGGCTTAGAGATATTTTTACTTAGCTTTGAATTGAATATGAAACTTACATAAGACTCTGAAGGAACATACTTTGACTTTGAATTATATTTTAATAGACCTGAAACAGGCATAAGAGTCTGAGCGAGTTGTTGTCTTTCATTGACTGCAAAATGATATGACAATTTTATTAGATATTTCAGTATCATGCTTCGTTCGGAGAGATATGATTTATGCTCATTTCATCCGAATTTTAACAGGAGTTTTCAGTCTTAGTAGCAACGATTGGTTTGATCGACAAATGCAATGTACTCAAAAGACGTAGCCTGAATTTTCAATGCCTAAGATCCTTTACGGATGGGAATTCGACAGTTTTACAGAAATTTGCCCACAACTTCCTCAATGTAGGCACTTGTGGGTGCTTGTCGTAGTTCTTTAAACAACTATTGTCTATATTCTGTGAAGGATTCATGGGATCGATCAGGAAAGCCTGGGAGAGGGGCTGATAGTGATCATGTTTTTAAACAGAGTGGAAAGAGGGAGAAAATTGAAGAAAAGAAACGAAATGTGTTGCTCCCCAACACACCTCCCCCCTCCCCCCCCGAGCTATCACTATTTTTAACCTCTCAAGGCAGTGAATAGTCTTAATTGGCATTTGACAGAAAAGTCATTAGATTGCCACAAAATTGTGAAACTCAGAGGTAATTGAAAGGTTTCTGTCTTGACTAATCAAGGAAATATTTCCTTACACTGCGCACATTCTCTGCGAGAAAGACATGCAAATTATAATAAATGAAAAGATGTAATAAGTTAATGATTACCTCAAGAGCATTAGTTGAAAGAGAGGCCTTTACGTATATGTTTATTCTAGCACGAATCAGTGGTTTGCCAGAATCGAGGCCTTTCGAAGGAGGCTCTCTCGCCCATGTCCACGGCTATTCAAAACCAATCACCCTTGAAAAGGCTGGTAACAATTATTAACGACTATGACAATGCATGATGTAAAATCGCGCTTTGTTTCTAAGGTATGAACAAAGCAATTACAATACGCCAGTCACGTTTATTTGTTAGCAAACCGCTCAGAAACTCTGAAGATGCGAAGTTCACTCTCCTTGTTTTCTGTGGACAAATTGTTATAATCCTGTTCGGATTCTCATCCACATAACCAAGTAAGAACAAAAACGTCGAGGAGGGCGGCCTACTTGAACTCCGTTCAAATAAGGTTCCAAAGTTTGACTCTGTCAAGGTTTGTTCGCATGATTTATTCGCGCTGATAGATTTTTAGATTTTTTTTCTGTCACGAATACTGATGTACAATAAAGCCAATCTGAGGTTCTAATGTTCTTCTTAACGAAAATCCACACAAATATTATATCCAGTCGGTCATATCCATTTTGTAATACTCTCTCTCCATGTTCATACTTGTGGTATACATTTTTCTCTATCAGTGGGATAGCGAACAAAATAACATCCAAATTAACACACAAATTTTATGCAAGGCTAAATTATGAATTTTGGTGAACCCAGGTTTAATTTTGGTTTGTTCATGACGCTGTTCTATTCGAGAACATTAGCATTGCAACCATGATTTCAAAAGTAAAGGAGTGGAAACCATCCTTCAGCATTCGGGACCGTCATATATCACGGAAGGTTTGAAATCCGAAATGAATACTAAACTAGCCAAAGAGCAGCTTCTTTTATAACGCTTTGTAAATATTTTGGGTATTTAGGCAAGTATTTTATCTGCTCTCAGGCAACGAAACTGCTATCGTCAATACTTTACAGGAAATATGCGTATACAATAAGTATGTATACTAATGAAGTTGGGAGAGAAATATGTTGCATGATAATAATAATAATAATAATAATAATAATAATAATAATATGCAAAGAAATATTGCTGAGAATGCAGAAAGCTGAATTAAGTAGCACTCTGAACATTGCAAGAACATTTAAACTGGTTATAGCGTAAGAATTTTAAGGACATTATGATTTAGTTTTTATGAACAGGATTTTATGAACATTTTAAGTTAAGGATATTTTAAGAACCGAACAGTAAATCATGAAAATTTAAAAACAAAACATCTTAGTATTGGGCCAATTGACACTTTTGTCGTTTTATATTGATCATTTATATTTAAGTAGTATATATATCTTATTAACCAAGCGCGAGGGCCGTACTGGGAGAATATCGACCCGAAGTCTTGGCAGTACAGACCGAGCGCAGCGAGGTCCGTACGAAGAAGACCGAGGGCCGATATTCTTCCAGTACGGTCCCGAGCAAGCTTGGTTAATAAGAGGTTTATTATACGACTGAAGTTCAAAGGGACACAAGTGCGGTATCATTCAGGACCATTCGGGACAGTGCCCGGTCCAATACTTAGAGAATATTGGACCGGCAATAGAGCATTTTGATTGGTTGATTTTAGTTATTGGCCCTCTGACTGCTCGAGTCGTGTAATAATAGATATTATTATAGTTAACAGTCCTGTCATGCAGATAGGTTACGAATTTTCGCCTTATCTTGCTTAGTTCACTAGCATCCAAACGTGTATACTGCATAATAATAATAATAATAATAATAATAATAATAATAATAATAACGAATATTTATACAGGATAGCCCTTCAGTGCAGGAGCACCGTTATCAGTGGGGTCCTGTCTAAATAACATAATATAAGGATAAAAACTAGAGTAAGATAAGAATGACTACGCACCTAACTAAATGCCCTATGCAAAAAATTGATCTAAAGACTCCCTAAATGGTACCCTACTGCTAATTTGCTTGATTTTTAACGGTAAAGGTATCTTCCATAGTGCCACCTAATTCATGCAAGTTCTAAAATGGACAAGGAATTTTGCTTTTTTCGCTAGTATCAGAAGCGTAGTTTTCTTTCTTCTCTACTACGATACGATAAGCAATTCACGGATATAAAGCAAGAAACCTTAAGCAATAAACCACTTACTCTATCATTTTACTGCATGGCGTAATAACACGCTTGGGATGTTGGAAGAACACGAGAGAGGTTTGTAAACAAAAATGCACCGCAGTTCACGTGATGCCTATATTTAGGTAGAGTGTTGTAGAGTTCACGATTTCATCATTATTAACGACTTACCACATTCCAAAACATTTCCCTTTTTTCCTCCAAAACATTTCGTGGCGTACCTGTAAACTAGCTTTTAGCTAAGCGTTCTGACCACGTTAAATAAATTGATTGATTGATTGATTGATTCCCTTACGCAAGTGAAAATAAATGAAAACGCGGAAGTTCGTGTAGCCAGCCCCGAGGGTTACACTCGCGCTGGTAGCTTCAAGCACGTACCATTCGAAAATCTTCCCTGTACATCAGGATGGCGGGTGAAACTTCTATGATTTTATGACCAAGGCATCTAAAATACAAATCGACAGAAACAATTATCTTGGCCAAATGATTTTGGCGCATTTGGAATTGGAAGCGTTATTTGTCCTGGAACATTAATAATGTCCGCCACATAAATACTATCGCTTTCATAGAAGAATGTGTCAGGAAATGATCGAGAAGAAGTAGTCTTTTCGAATATAAGCAACAATAACACATCAAGAAGTAACGCTTCTCAAATTTCCTTCCGTTAGGTTTTCATAAATATCTTTCAAAGGTGCAAATCTTAAACAGTTAAAAGACAAGAAGATAGATACGCAGACATGGACGCACAGATAAATGACAATGGAGAAATACCTCTGGTGAATGTGAATGATGGAAGCGGGGATGCTGAAGAAAACCATGAAAAGAAGGCAGCGAGAGATAGAAAAGAGTCCCGTTTCATAAGCACTGTTTCCATGAATTCCGGAAGTGAAGATGACGGGGAATACGGAAAAGTAAGTACAACAACTTTATCTTATAATCTAATTCTCCGGATTCCCAAATGCAGTAACTTGTGATTGGTGTCCCTCTTAACCGTTACTTTAAGGAATAAAAAAATATGAAAAACTGAGAGGAGAACGAAACAGGGAAACTAACAAATTTCGATAGAAAAATTTTGACATAATTATAATATAAGTTTACAAATAAAAAATTAAATACAGAAGGAATTATTATTTTATGATTTCAAATAGAGAAGGGGGGAAGAGAGGGGAGACAGAGAAAGGGAGGATGAAGGAAAACAGCAGGAAACACCAAAAAAACGGAACAATAGGGGAATCATGATTAAAATGTAAAGATGGTGATATACATATGCGGTCTACATCCGCGTCAAGATAAGATTTCATATGCGAGTTTGTCTGCGTAGCTGGCTGGTCGAGGATCTTTTGTGAGGTTACGGTCGTTTTCTTGGTCCCGCCGCCATATTTTAGTAAGCGCTTAACAAACGACTACATGTCAGCTTACTGCTTGGGTATTTGATTTTAGGAAAAAGTCTTAGGTGGTAAATCCACGAGGCTTCACAAGCTGATTTTGGAAGGAGAAGTGGAAGAAGTAGAAAAATTGGTAGCCAAGGGGGGAGGTAAGCAGTGAATCATAGCTTTGCATAATATTGATATATATGGTATAACAAACTTGTCAGTGCACGGTAAAATAACGAGGGAGTTGTATTTAGTCAGTGGTAGAATATTTTTAAATGAAGTCAGGTATATATCTAACAGGAAGTAAATCCGTTTCTAATAATTATTTTGGATGAAGAACGGTCTCCATGTTTAATTCAATTTCATTTGTAATAGAAGAAATACTCCCCTTGCGGAAGGTGGCGAAGAGTTCGTTATACGTAACGCTTGATTACGGTCAAAATTAATATGTGATGCGTGAACTTTATAGAAAGAGGAGCGTGATTCATGAATTTAGGAAGCAGCATGAGGCGCTTAAGCCGTTTTGATTCGCTCGAGGAACTGATCTGTCAAGTTTTATGATGAACTATACCTTTGATTATCAAGATGCCATCAATCGAGTTTGTGATTTCTTTGTCAGCGATCAATAACGGAGACAAGTCAGGAAAAACTCCTCTGCACACCGCTATTCTCTCAAAGCAGTTTAAGATTGTCGACAGGCTGTTGGAATGTGGCGCTGACGTCACTATAAAAGATGATGCAGGAGACACTGCACTGCACACTGCCATTCATGTCGGAAGCGAAAGACTGGCACTAGTAAGTATCAACTCGCTTGTCCAATCATACACATGTTTGAAATCTGCAATATCCTCTCTAACCACGCAATACATCAGGTGAAGTATGAGAAATTTTAATGCCTAGTCAAGTTTTATACTCGATGCTCTTGCCATTTAGGAAAGTGGAAATACGCGTTTGTTATCTAATGTTAACTATTTAACAATTATTCGCCGAAGGCGAGGTGAATATCGTCGAATAATCCCCGAGATGAAGTCGAGGGATTATTCGACAATATTCACCGAACCTGAGGCGAACAGTTGTTTTAGTATAATTTCAGAGCTGAGTAACAGAGAAATTTCTAAATCATAACATTTTAGTAACATTTATTAACATTTTATTTTAACATTTTATATAAACCGCATGTAGCGGTTTATATAGCGTCATATAAGGAACCACTCGACCAATCAGACTGCTGGGAACTCTTTGCTCAGCTCTGAAATTATACTAATATTTGGATATTTTCCCTTTATTTTTATAATCGGGCGAATAATAAGCTGTGTGCTCGCTTCATTGTAACAGGGTAAAGCATCACAGTTTTGACGTGAAACAGCAATGTCAAGCCCTTGGGTCATTGCGCTGTGTTCTTGGACATGACTTTTCGCTCTCATCATGCTCTCTATATTACTTATTGTGCAAACGATCATGGATGAATAGATCTTTGTACAATTGGCGACCAAAATTAGTGATAACCACTGAAAACATAACCCCACAGAAAGACGAAGTATGGCTCATGTAGTAAATACTGAAAACTTTACAGCTTGACTTAAAAATATCAGCTTTTTTTTTTAATGAGATCGAAATTGTCTTTTATCGCCTAA